TAATAAAAGGCGTTAAAGAAGGACCTGCCAACAACAACAAGGGTAACTTTTATTATTAAAATATCATTGGTTATTCATTTTCTTTGTTTAATGTAGATTAATGGAATGGCGTCAAGTGAAATAACAATAACAATAATAATAACCAAGACTGCCGATTATATATAGTTCATACTCGAAATTAAAAATTTTCAAATAGTCGTTATAATAAATATTTGAAAAAAGGTCTCTCATTTTTTTATCAAAAAAGACTATTTCTCAATGGGTTGAAAATATTATAATCGTACTGTTTAAAGCAACACATCCATATTGTGTACGAATTAAAAATTAAAAAAATTAGCAGTGCCAAACCAAGATATGATGATAAAAATGTCAAAACAATTGGTTGTAAAAGTAAAAACAACAAAAATATTTGCTAACTTATTTTCAAGTATCATCAGCACCATCAGAAAATAACAAATAATGATGAATTTGAACTTCAACCATGTTCTGGTTGAAGTGAAGAAGATTTAAAAAAATATACCTGTTGATTCTGGTGGTTCACGTAGGTTGGAAGTCGTTGCAAAAATTAGAATTTTTTAATAGAATTATTATTAATAATATTAATGTTAATAAAAAAATTTTTGGGCCTAGTGAACATATGCCATATTCAATTATCATTCATTACCTTTGATAAAGTGTTTGACCCAAAACCAAAAAACATCGTTGGACTCTTTGAAAAAAAAATAATTGAATCAAAATCAATTGATCTAGAAAAACCTATTGTAGTGGGTTACTGCTTTAGAAAAATTGGGAACAAAAAAACTTTCTGTTTACGACTGAATATGCTAGTAAAAAAGGTCTATAGTTGGAAAAAAATAAGACATTTAACACTTTTTTAAAATAACTTAATATTTAAAAGATTTAAAATTTGTAATTTCTTTCAAACTATTACTTTTTCCAACACATTATTATAATTAAAAACAAAAGATATTGTTTCGTCAATACCAAATAAAATGTTGGGACAGAACTTTAAAAATTTTTTACTCTATCACGTGAACGTCTTATAATAATAATAATAACTCTTCAAATTATAACACTGCCAAGAAAAATTGAAATCGACATCTGATTCAATGTTTAGGTCAAGATCTTCTAATTCATCACATAATAATAACGATGTTGAATCATCATCCTTTGAGTTAATGACAATTGATTCTTCAGAGTTATCAAATTTCAAGGAGGAAACAGCATTGTTATTAAAATAATAACGATAATAACTTTAATAACTTAACCACCGAGTCTAGGTCTTGGATTAATTGGATCTAGACCTAACACTCCACATACTATTATTAATAATAACAGCAACAACTACAATAATAATAAAGAATATCAAAGGTTCTTTTATTGAAATATACAGTACCCTACCAAAAATGGAAATAGCTCAAATTTTTGTAACGTCCTCGTGACAGTTATCTGTATGTCACGATTAAACTTGTGAGGCTTGGGGTGGTAGGAGTTATGGAATGCTTACCAACTCCAAAAATAAATTCTTATTTGTCACTTAGGTTCCGTATATTTCATAAAAAGAACCTTTCTGTACATAGGATGACCCTAATAATAATCTACAAAATAAACCAAAATGATACTACCGTTTAACAGGAATCAGAAAACTGCAAAAACCGTTTTTTGCTTATTTTTTGTTAAAAATTTATGTTATTTATATATGGCTTGAGGGTCAGATGGTGGTGTTGAGACGTTGTTCTAGGGGCCATTTGGCAGTGTTGAGCCATCATATAAATATATGAATTTTTTTTTTAGTTTTTTTATTTAAAGCTTAATATTGTTAATATTGTTACTGGAATTAGAAATTGATAATAATAATCTTTTAGGCGAAACATATAACATTGTGAACATTTGTTTGTAATTACTGATCCACATTATTATAAATTAAATTTATTAAAGAAAATTTATTAATTAATCAGCTTCATTATCATGAGATTGTTTTTTGCGTATATACATATATATGTAAATGATCTATTTTTTTCACAGATGTTACTAGAATTAGGGTTTTATGCCTATTTGTTGGTCGAAATACCTAATTCCGAATCAAATCTTTTATTTCTATTTTTATTTTATTTTTACTTTATTAACACGAAAACATTTGCATGTCATGACCACCTTCCAAAATCAGTAAGGCGAGTGACCTTTCTCGCCGATTGTCTCCTTTTGCATCATATTAAAACCCCAATTTAGCGACAAACATTTTGACTTCACCTATTTTTTTTGTGTATACGTAAACAATTGATTGGCTAATTCAAATCACAGTGAAGACTGGTTGATAAAAAAACGCGTTTTTTAATCTTTTTGTATAAATATGCAAATCAAACAAAATGTCAACGCATTAAAAGAAAGTGCGACGAAAAGATTAAACGAAAAAATACAGTTGATGGTGGAAAATTTATTAGAACATCCAAAAAAAACCTTTTATTACGCATTTACAATCATTTCGTCGACATTCGTTATATTAAAGTTATTTTGATTATATCGAGAGATATGGTTAAGAGAAGAGTTAGGAAGAGAGCTATTTTTCAACCAAGTCGAAAACCAACCCTTTAAATACATTTTCGAGTAGTACAATTTTATTTATTAGACTATTTCAAAGGTTTGTCGCATGGTTGCTTCCAACTATATACTTAAATTCGAACCATTTATGTTAAACAAAATGAATCAAACATTTTTATTAACATTTATTTTTAAATTCATGATTTTGATCGGTCAATCAACAATTGCGTGGGTTAAATTTTGTGTTATCAGAACGGTCTCTCCTGTAATAACATTGTATAATGACAAATGATCTGTGTTGAAATATCAATGGATGATTAATTTAATCTCCACTATAAATTTATTGATTATATAAATCATACACACAATATATCCTACATGTAAAATTTTTAATATGCACCTACTCACAAAAAGGAGTTTTTTTTTTAATAAATTTAGCCCTTTAAAAATTTTGTTGGTCATATTGTATTTAAAATGCTCCAATATTAATCATGAGTGAAACTGAGTATTCAAGTGATTCTGAAAGCAAAAGCGAGTTTGTACTAACAACAATGTTTTAGATAACATTCCTGAAGATAATGATGTTACTGAGGAGTATGATTCTAGTATGCATTTCACAACTTGGAAAGTTAGTATTAAGTATGTTAAACAAATGTGCACAACATGGATTTAAGAAAAATTTGAAGTTGACATACAAAAACGAACTCTTGTTTGAAAAAAAAAGAGGAATTAACCCATCTAAATCACAAAGAACAAACTGTAATTGGTATTTAAATCTTTCGCATCTTATCTTTTACATATATATATATTACTGCATTTTATACTTGATTCTTCTGCAAGAAGATTTGAGTCAAAAAAAGCATTACCAAACCTATGCTAAATGGATGTGTGTAGATGGGCATTTAAAACCTCTTGTAATAAAACGGTGCACATTAAAATTGCTTATAAAATACATACATGCGTACAAAATTTATTAATTTATTTTGTTAAATTTTAAGAGAAAAAAAAAAGTTTTTGATTTCTTCACCATTCAATAATAAATTAAAATTTACCTTTTTCCAAAATATATTTATAAAAAGACATTAAATAAAGTTAAAATGTCATTTAATAAATTATTATCACCAGAAAGAAGAAACTTTGTAGTTAAAATTAATGCTAAAATGTATAATAATGCTCTGGTTAATTCTAATAGAGAAACTATGAAAGATTATTTTTTTTCATTAGTCAAAGAAAATAAGGATCTTTCTGGAAATGAAAAACAATTTTGCAAAGAAAAATTTATTTATGATTTTGAATTAAATAATGCAATTTATAAATCAGGCAAACCAAAAGAATGCAACAAGTGTAAATCAACAAGATACTCTGATAGATTCTGTGAAGGTTGTATTAGCTTACAATTACAGAGTCTTTTCACCACTTGGACATCTGGAAATAAC